AGCCAGCGCAACAGCCTGGTTGATCAGGCTCTGATCCACCAGGAGGCCTGGTCACAGACCGGGCCGCGGGGGCGTTGACCCCCGGAACTCTCTCCAGGTAAACTCCAGGTAGATCATACATCTGCAGATCGCGCAGCAGAGTCTGCCATCTCATTGCCCCTAATAAATTGGAGCACAGATCCAATTCCTTAAATAAAAATTCCCTCATCATCATCAAGGAACCTCCCTCGATTATCATTACCACAAAGAACTTAAAAAGGATTGAAGGAGCCAAGCTTCAGTGAACCAAAGGCGTGTAGAATACACGCATGGAAGGCAATCCAGTTTGATCCAAAGTGGAGATTATCCAATTCCTTGGATCTCTGGGTACCGGCTCTAAGACATTGCTACCTTGCGATATTATTAAAATAAAAAAAGAAGCGCTAAACCTTGGGAGTAAGCAGTAGGCATCCCCACAGAATCTTAACCGTCTGGTGGAGATTATCTTTAGGTTAGAACCCATTCCAAGTGAACAAAAAAAGGGGTAAGAAGTAAAACAAAGTGGGTATTTTATTTCAAGTGACATATCACTAAATCCTTAATGCGCAACATAACAAACGCAAGAAAAAGTCATGAGAAATACACAAATAACCTTATATCGCTGCATCGATCAAGTCACAAGTAAAAAGAGAAAAGTGCCAAGTAGCCTCTATGCTTTTCTTGCCTCAGCTGACTTCACAATGTCCAGGACAGACGTAATTTTTTCAGTGTGTATGAAGTAAGTCAGCCGAGTCTCTATGAGCTGATGGAGGTCCTGGCTCGGTTACTGCCCTGGGGATGTTTTTGTCCACAAGAGGTTCAGCAGTAACAGGAAGCTCCATGCAGCTTTCGTCAGCTGGGCAGCCTTCATCAGCTGGGCAGCCTCCATCAGCTGGACAGCCTTCATTAGTTGGGCAGCTTTCATCAGCTGGGCAGCCTTCATCAGCTGGGCAGCCTTCATCAGCTGGGCAGCCTTCATTAGTTGGGCAACCTTCATCAGCTGGGATGTTGTTGTCTCGATCACGGGATAATTCGCGATCCCTCACCTATTTTGGGGAGAATTTTTTTTTTTACATTATAAATGTTCCAATGACGAAAGTTATACAGAGCCTCGGCTTAATGGGAGGCAAGGAAAGGAAGGGTAGCTCCAATTCCTTGGATCTATTTATTAAATTTATCGTCATAGTACACAATGTTTATATACAATAATAATGTAACATACAAGGTGATAGTGATAACTATTAAATTCACTTACAGGAGCCACCACAACCTCCTCGGTCTTCTGGCATCTTGAACAACATGACCCCATCTGAGAAGAAAAATTACTGACTCAGAGATCATAGTGCTGCTTGGAAATAACTTTACCAAGACGATACATTATTTGCAATATATTGTTTGTTAAGCAAGAAAAAGAAACTCAGCATCAAATCCTTGGATCAAAAGATCCTCGCTAGCAACAAGGAACCTTTGAGGTAGGAAACTGTACGATGTTAAAATTTACTTATCATCTAGTCTACTAGAGTGAAGAGCACAAACGATACTTACATACCTGACCACGTACGTATGTACGTACATATGAACGTACAAATTCACATGCACAAACACGTATATATGCAATGTGTCAGTTGATCAATTAGACACATGTGCAACACTCATCTACTGTGACAGCAATACATGTCATTTCTAGTCTAATATAGCTAACACTGAAAACTCTGGTATTGTTGTATACACTCGTAATATCCTAATATAAAGTGCACTAAACCCGCGAGTTGTATAACGCTGTGTTAGTGTCATGAAGATGGACCCAATTTCAAAGCAGTACTGCTTTGAAATTGGATTCATCATTTTGAAACACCCTGTATATGTCAAACGTCCAGTAGGCCTGGGAGTGATTGCCAGAGGATCTCACTTTCAAGGATCACAACAATGTATCACCCACATTTGCTAGGATAATAATAGGATGGATAAAGAGAACCTTCAAAACTAGGGATGCCAAGCCCACTATAATTCTCTTTAAATCGCTTGTTCTCTCTAGACTGGAATATTGCTGCAAACTAACGACCCCTTTAAAGGCAGGTGATATTGCTGACCTGGAGAATGTACAGTGAACTTTCACGGCACGTTTAAGTACGATAACCCACCTAAATTACTGGGAACGGTTGAAGTCCCTTGATTAGTATTCCCTGGAATGCAGGCTAGAGACATGATAATATACACTTGGAAAATCCTAGAGGGACTAGTCCCAAATTTGCACACGAAAATCACTAAAAAGGAAAGCAAAATACTCAGCGGATGTAACAGACCCCCAGCAGGGGCGCCATGAGTACGCTAAGAGTCAATACAATCAGGGGCCCAAGACTGTTCAATTGCCTCCCAGCATACATAAGGAGGATTACTAATAGACCCCTGGCTATCTTCAAGGCAATGGACAGGCACCAGCCCCGGTGGCCTGGTGGCTAAAGCTCTCGCTTCACACACGGAGGGCCCATGTTTGATTCCTGGAGGGGGTGGAACCATTTCGACGTAAATGGTCCAAGTCGGACCGAAACGTCGTCGTAAGCTTCTCTCTTTTATGTGCGGGTTATTTGTGTATCGACGTTTCCTTACACCTGTTGTCATGTTCACCTAGCAGAAAATAGGTACCTGGGTGTCATTTGCCTGTTGTGGGTTGCATCCTGGGGGACAAGATTGAGGACCCCAATGGAAATAAGACAGACAGTCCTCAATGACGCACTGACTTTCTTGGGTTATCCTTGGTGGCTAACCCTCCGGGGTTAAAAATCCGAAGAAAATCTTATCTAGCCGCGCTGTGGTTCGTACCTCGGCTTGCGTGCGGCCGGCAGTAACAGCCTGGTTGATGAGGCTCTGACTCATTCAAGGCCTGGTTACAGACCGGCGTTGACTCCCTCCAGGTATACTCCAGCCAGGTAATGGCGGCCGTCAACCCTTCATGAAATGGAGGGTCACCAGCAGTCATTCACATCTAACTCTTATTTATTCTAAATCCACGCACACAGCATTTATTTCGTTACCAACAACTGCGCGTACGTTATATCATTGGTTATTTAATATGAAATAACTAGGGAAGCTTACTTTCAACGAAAAATGTCGAATTTACACTAGGAAAGAGTGACAACAACAACGACCTTATCAGCGACCAGTCAGCGTGTGCTGCCAGGATCTGTCAGTCAGCGTTCATGTCACTACAAAACTTTACTTTTAACGGTGATTATATCCTTTATTAAATTATGATTTATAAAATATTATTAATTATATTCTATTAATATTTATTATATAATTACCTGGAGAGAGTTCCGGGGGTCAACGCCCCAGCGGCCCGGTCTGTGACCAGGCCTCCTGGTGGAATCAGAGCCTGATCAACCAGGCTGTTGCTGCTGGCTGCACGCAAACCAACGTACGAGCCACAGCCCGGCTGATCCGGAACTGACTTTAGGTGCTTGTCCAGTGCCAGCTTGAAGACTGCCAGGGGTCTGTTGGTAATCCCCCTTATGTGTGCTTGGAGGCAGTTGAACAGTCTCGGGCCCCTGACACTTATTGTATGGTCTCTTAACGTGCTAGTGACACCCCTGCTTTTCATTGGGGGGATGGTGCATCGTCTGCCAAGTCTTTTGCTTTCGTAGTGAGTGATTTTCGTGTGCAAGTTCGGTACTAGTCCCTCTAGGATTTTCCAGGTGTATATAATCATGTATCTCTCCCTCCTGCGTTCCAGGGAATACAGGTTTAGGAACCTCAAGCGCTCCCAATAAATGAGGTGTTTTATCTCCGTTATGCGCGCCGTGAAGGTTCTCTGTACATTTTCTAGGTCGGCAATTTCACCTGCCTTGAAAGGTGCTGTTAGTGTGCAGCAATATTCCAGCCTAGATAGAACAAGTGACCTGAAGAGTGTCATCATGGGCTTGGCCTCCCTAGTTTTGAAGGTTCTCATTATCCATCCTGTCATTTTTCTAGCAGATGCGATTGATACAATGTTATGGTCCTTGAATAGTTTCATATAATAATAATAATAATAATAATAATAATAATAATAATAATAATAATAATAATAATAGGCCTGAGCTTGCTACCATCTGCAGCTCATAAGACTGCCATCCCCACGAGCCCCTTTGGGGCGGGGCAGATGGCAGACCAGAGGACTAGCTTCTCCCTACGAGCCCAGTGAGAGCGGGGAATGTGGCTAGGCCTGGGGACAGTTGGTCCCAAAGTTGAGGGGGTACTTATACCTCCTCCCATGGGAGACTTAGGTCTCGAGACACTCCCCAGATAGGGAGCCAAGGCCGGGTCACCACTACTTGGAAAAGACCCGGGCCGGGAGAATACCGGCGAATAAAAAAAAAAAATTTGGAAAATTGCATTTATCTGAATGTAACTAATTATGTACATAACAGTAAATGATAAAGATAAATATTATTTATCAATGTTACATAGACAAGTAGGAATTTGGGACACCTAGGTCGCAAAAAATGTCTCCCTTCGATACCTACCACTGTCATAACCACAAGTTGCTCTGGACCTATTAATTAAATGAAATATACATACACCAGGAATACTGGTAAATATATAAATTTGTGGACTGTATATTAAAAATTATTATATATAAATTCACATATACATAACAGAAGGAAAATATATCTTAATATCACTCACCAATTTGACTGGATATTAAGTTGTATCATACTCAGAAAAACCTCACTAACTAAATTTGTGAAAACACTGGCCAGAATTATACACAAATCTAGAGAGCTTATCTGAGGTTCCTGGAGCTGTCTTGTCCAGTCGTCTGATATCTTAGGTTATGCAGGAATGCACATCCAACAATTTCGCCTCCTATTTGAGAGGTGTCAATCCAATTTTGACCTCTAGAGCACGAAAAATTCTTCCCATTATATTAATGTTGTATCCAATTTAAAACCAAGATGGCGAGTCCCCTTCTGCGCAGGCGCAGCTTCCCCGTTTTCGATTACAAAATTTTAAAACAGTAGGGCCATCAAATTTACATTTAATAATTTCTGATTTCTGGAAAATATATACAGTATTTTCCACAAAAAATAAAACAAAAAGGAAAAGTGCTTTAAAACCAATAAAAAAAAGGGCGTAATGATCCCCTTTTAATTTAAAAGTTTCCATTTGATTTAAAAAAAGTAAATAGGGATTTTTTAAGGGTACAACAAGAATTCCCCGCTTATTTTCCCTTATGCTTATGAAGAGCAAATAAATTTACTACAAAAAACAGAAGTCCAAAAAAGATCAAAGAACAAGTGCTCAAGTTCAATGAACACCAACCCTACTCAACCGACCAAACCCCCACCCCAATACGACACACCAAACCCCCCAAAAACACATCAGAGGGCCCCTTGTTTTGGGGTGTTAATAATTTGGTACATATAATGATATAATGGATGGTACAGGCGGGGGGTTTACACCTTTTCACCCCCTTACCCAAAAATGAAAAAAAGGGGAGAGAGAGAGGGAGGACCCAAAATAGGTAATGTTTAGCTTTAAAAATTGAATTCTGGGCAACTTTACATTAAAAATAGGTTCAAATCAAGATAAATTCCACTTGAGTTAGTTCAGGCTATGCCACCCTTAAAGTACCTCATGAAATAAAAAATATAGCAGACATCACCAAAGAAAAGCTGAAGAAAAACCCCTTACCCCAACCATAGGGGTGGAAACGTATTACTAAAAAAAAAAAAAAAAAAAAAAAAAAAAAAAAAAAAAAAAAAACTTGGGAAAAGTTTCAATGACAAAGAGTTTTAAAACCTCTGGTCGACTTCCTTGGGGCCCTCCTGGGTAACTCCCCCCGTTAATATGTTATAAGGGATCAAAACATAAGGGTGCAGTGTTGATAGATGAAAACCCGTTTCCTAAACAATCTCACTTACACACGCGTTACTATGTATGACAAGTGTTACCAAGTACACCAAGTGTACACTTTATCACTTAGAATACACTTTTGTTGATGTAAATATAGGTGAGAGTGGTACACCGCTGGTCGTAATAAACACACTGAACTTCTCAAGGTCACACACTAGGCCCAGCTTCTGGAGTTACAGCGTTTTAATGTGTTTATTATGTGTCAGTGGTGACTGCAGTCATTAAAATTGGTGTATCAGAAGTTAAACACTACAATCAGTTGATCAAATAGTCTAAAACAATTTACACAATGTATAACTAGAAGTATAATGATTGCAAATTGTTACTATTACAATTTTAACTAGGCGCTAGACCCACTAGATGCGATGGCAAGGAACATAGATGTTAACAGGCTGACTCTTGCTTAACACAGTTGAAAGGTAACCGAATTACTCAAGTAAGAAAGTATTCATGAAACTGAACATTATGCAGGAGTAAGCTTGTTCACAGTAAAAATACAAGCATAAGTTACACACTCACATCACAGATGAACACTGCAATTTGAAATATACTGGGAATTAGCAGTAAAGTTTCAGTCTGAACGAGAAATGTATTAGAAAACACAACAATGACACTAGGACAAGCAACTTAATTATGTAACCGTATTTAATAGTTCAGTTACACTGAGCAGAGCATGTATTACACTGATTTATCAAATGTAAGGAGTCACTACACTGAAGTACACTCTGAGCCTTTTAAAGTCTTAATACAGGCTTACAAATGACAATTAACTGTTGGGGAAAGCAGCACTTAACACTTCTAGCACATGTATGACAGATGAATGTTCACTGTGTACAAGCCAATCACCACAAGCTTACTATGTTTATAAGTGAACCTCTGGCATGTCCCACTCAAATGTCAGCACTGCAATGCTCGTCAAATTGTTCTCAAGCCACTACAGGAAACACTGGTATGCCAGCAGCACTGCAAAACGTATACAGACATGCTGGGCCCTAGGACAGCTATAACTGCAGACTGCCTTAGCTTGTTCTGGCTAGCTTTTAGTGCTGCCCTCAAGCTTGCTTGACTGTGCTCGCCAGCCCGCGCCAACCACCCGGACACTGCTCTGCAGCAGGCAGGCAGGACACAGGAGACACTCGCAAGATGAGCGGAGTGCGGCACAGAGGACACGGGCATCAAGCACCCATGTGATCTGGCAAAAACCGCCTCTACACCACAAGAAATAGAGGCGAACGGCTGAGTTCCAAATCGAGGAAGGAGAAGGGACAAGGAAAGGATATTCACCTCGCTAGATACAGGCAATATGGGTGTAGTGGCCTGCAGGTCGCAGTGCAATTTTCAAGGTCATTCACTGGGCCCACAGTCGTCTCGAGAGTTACCAACCCTGTACTACTTGTTAATTACTCCAAACCCGCAGCACTTAACACATCTAGCACACGTGTCTTGGAATGACAGACAAATTTTCACTACATAAGAACTAGTTCTCACAACACGAAGTTACGGCCGGAAACACTGTAGAACGTTCACAAAGGCATTCTGGGATTCAGAACAGATGTAGCCTTGGCCTTCACTGGCTGGCTTGGAGCGCTGTTTGGCCTGGATCAGCTAAACTCGCCCTTATCCCATATGTAGATAATGGCGACGAGTTAAGGGATACCGGTGAATAGGAAAGTCGAGGAAGGGACATTCACCTCACTAGACACACGCAGTATGGGTGTAAGTGGCATGCGGGTCTTATAGTGCCATTTTCAAGGTCACCCAGCAGGCCAGACATTCCTCACTCATTTTAAGCCTACGTAGGTACTGATGGTAGCACAATGTCCTAAGTCAGCGTAATCCACTCATGCAAATAGTTACAACAAATCTGCAGCACTTGCGGAACTCAGAGAGTCGAGTACCAGCGGGGCAGCAAAATACACCTCTACACTGCACGTCGTTGATAGAGGCGAACGGCTGAGTTTAAGGAGGAGAGTTGGGGATACAGGAGAACAGCAGAGGTAACTGAGCACGCACATTTGCCTTTCATTCACATAGTCAATATGGGCGAAAGTCTCAGGCAGGTGATGCAGTGCCTCGCTCAAGGTCACAGGCTGAGGCAGACTTCTCAAGAGTTACCAAATACTGCAATACTCATACAGATTGTTACTCACTCCCAAACTTGCAGAACTTCTAGCACACGTGTCTTGGAGTGAAAGACGAATTTTCAGTGTGTGCACACCTGGGTTACCAACTCACGTAGGACTGCACACTCGTCGTTATTCCTCATGTTGGTAAAGCGATGAGTTGTGAGCATTT